GTCTGCCCATCTCATCTCGCGCCGTACATTCACAAACTCATAAGGATGCACACCAAATTTGCTGAGCGGGCCGAGGTCCAACTCACACTTCGACATTTAATACACCTATTCGCCCCTAGCTTTTATGAGGGGACGATGCTGAATCTTCGCCACCGAGGAGGCAAGTGCTTGGTGGTGAAGATGGATGACAAAGCCAACCGCAAATTTTGGTTCAACTTCTTCTTCATTAGAATCGAGGATGTAGTGGCCAACAACGATGGTTTTCCTGAGGCTAGGAATTGTACTCATAAGTGCTTAATTTCCTTGTTTGTAGGTATCTGATTTTTTTTCTCGCCTTGGTCGTGGGTTTTGACCTCCTGTCCTTTTTCGTGCAGCTAAAATCTTCTCTTTTTTCCAAAAAATAACACTTTTCCTTATTTAATAAAATATTGACTTCTTTGTTTTCTAATCCTTTTCAGCGCTGATTTATTACTTACCTCTTCTTTTAATTTCTTTTCCCCCCTTTTTCTATTTCCTCTTATTTACTAATTAGAATAGGAAAGGGAGAAAAAGAATCATCGTTCCCGAAGTCCAACGTAATAGGACCGAAATCCTATAATGTTATCCCATGCTAATGTATGCAGAGCATAGGCTTACTTTGAGCACTCTGATTTCTTCAAAGTAAAAGCGCCGGAGGCACAACCCGGCCAATTAAGGCCAAGAGAGCATTGCCGGCATAAGGGATGAGACGACCGGTGCACACCTAAGACGTGACCGACTGGTGCACACCTAATGCATCCCTTCCTCCCTCAAATAATGGGGATACGTGAGTGGTCGGGTTTTTCAAGGGGTTTGAGCCTCCTCTCTCTTCGACTAGTAAATTACTTTTTCACCGGCGACTTAGTTATTTTTTCTTTTTGGTTTACTTTTGCCGACCTTCTCCTTTCCCTATGCTACGGTCAGGGGATCTTTGAGGAGGTCAAAAGGCCGATATCTCTGTTGTAATTATGTGATTTAATTGTTGAGCTGTAAATCATGCTGATTATCATGTTAAGTCTTCACGCCGATATTTATTGAGACCCAGGAGGTCGTTTCTTGCTGTCATGTAATTTATTTTATTGATATTCTGTACTCAGTCCTTTCATGCATATTATATCCTGTCCCAGTCTCGATTATTACTATTGCCACATTTTTATTGCTGACCTGGCTAGTATCATGCCATTTAGAGCCCGTATGTGAGACTGGTGAGTTATGACTGAGTGAGGCCGAGAGCCTACTATTGAGTGATAGTATGAGATTGGGCTGCTCACCGCAGCGAGATACTGAACAAGCCTTCGTTGGCTTTGTTATAGCGCTTGGGCTAATGAGAGAAGCCCCTCCGGAGTCTTTACACCCCAGTGAGCGCAAATGATGATATTGAGGGATGGATTTTCCCTGGACATGGATCTTGTCCAAAGTATTATACCAGGAGATGGATCTTCTCCGTGAGGCTGGATTGGCCTGTATCCTCGGTACTGGATGACTGCAGTCAGTGACGTATATTCCGGGATGGATCTTCCCTGGGCCCATATACAGTACCGAGGGGTTGAGTACTTGTGAGTGGAGGTTCATGGAACATTGATCATGCTAGTTGTGCATTACTATATGTAAAATCTCTGAGTTTTGAACTTCGTACTGTTCAGTTGCATTTAAATACTATTGAACGTTACTTGAACTATAAGCATGTCTACTTTTCCTGTTCAGATATATGTATTACCTGTTGAGGTTTTGGTCCGTCAGTACCTGTCAGTCCATAGGTTGGACTTGTTACTTACTGAGTTGGTGTACTCACGTTACCCCGTACACCTTTTGTGCAGATCCAGGTGTCTCGGGTCATGGTAGCGGCTGCTGATTATATTGTGCGGACTTTCACTTGGAGATTGCGAGGTGGCTGCTTGGCGACCGCAGTTTTGCCTTCTCCTTCCCTATCTTCCTCTAGTTTATATGTTGGATATTTTCAGACCGTACTAGTCTTGCTATTACGAACAGTTGTAGTAGTTTTTGCTCATGACTAGTGACACCCGAGGTCGGGCTTGTATTTTTCTTTCCGCTGGTTTTGGAACTTCTATTTTTATATCATTGGATTTCTGTTAAAATATGATGTTTTCTTAAGCTTTTCAATTGGAAAATAGAGTAATTGGAAATGAGTGGCTGGCCTAGTTCCACGATAAGCGCCATCACAACCGGGTCGGTTTTTGGGT